AAACAAGCTTGGAAGCAGGAGTGGCATCCACTTCCATAATAGCTTGCCTCCGGAAACCCTATGAACCTGGAGAGAGGATGAAAGGCACCCAATCGTCGAGGACTCTCCTTCATAGGGTCGCTTTGAGTCGCCTGCAACTCCATGGCACTTAACAACAACAGCAACATTCTTCAAGTGGTGGCTTAGTGGCAAGAAGCGGCACTGCAATTCCAAAGACATAGAGGAGGTCACCAGCTGCTTCACATGAGAAGGATGAGCAGTCTCCTCCCATGTGATTAACCGCTTCTGAAAACTCGCCAGACATTCAGCTATGGGTCAGTTCCGACTCCATGGTACATAACAACAAATATATATTTATTCCATATAAAATATATTATCCTTCCTATCTCTACAATTTAAAATTTTGCAAAGTCCTGACAATATATATAAATGTTACTTCTTTTTTTTATTTAGCAATCCACCGAGAGTCAAATCATAAAACTTTCATGGTTACAGAGTATGATTTTGATGGACAGTTTCTAACTGTAGAGGACAGTATGAAGATGGCACAGAAGCAGGCAATGCTTCATTTTGTTATATAGAAAGTTGCTACGAGTTGAGGTCAATTCAACAGAAATTAACAACTCTAGACTGAGTTGTAGAACAGAGCATTTTTTATGTTGTTAGGTGTTGTCAGACAAACTGCAACCCATAACAACCCTATGAACAGCCTGTCAAAATCTTGTTTTGTCTTGTGCATTCATCACAGTCTCTACCATGCTCAAGCCTGTTGCTGAATTCACCATGCCAATTGATCTAGTTGAAGATCTTCACTTTTTCACTGACCTCCCTACCTTTACCAGCATTACATCTTTTTCTAAGAACTTGCCCTTCCTGGCAACATGGCCAAAGTATATGAGACATAGCTTCACTATCCTTGCTGCTAAGGAACACCCCAGTTGCACTTCCTCAGAGACGGTTTGTCTATTCTCTTGACAGTCCATAATAGTCAATATTCTTCTCCAACACAACAATTCAAAGCCATCAATTCTTCTTCAGTCTTCTTTATCCATGGTCTAGCTTTCAGACACATAAGAAGCAATAGAGTGGTATTACCCACCACAATATTAGTGTCATCTTTAAAGTTTTGTTTTTAAACACGAGAGTTGGCAATCTATGCTTTCTAAGTCAAATTTTGCATTTCACTACCCAACCATCCCAGAATCTGGGACTCCTTGGTCAGCAGAGGTGTTGTCCAGGGCCTGGCATGACACCCAGGGTCTTTTCTGGTACCCTCAGTCTCCTATCAGATAAGCAGAAACATAGCCCTGACTGTGGCCCAACTGTAATCTCCTACTAGATCAAGAGAAACTCAACCAGACCAGACATCTTCCCTCTTTCATCCACTCACAAGAGCAGTGGTAAGAGCACCAATCAGGTCCCCAGGCCACTACCACCAACCCCGACCCATCCCAAAGTACCTCCTTTTTCTTTCTCATACTTTTCTGGTGTGTATGTTTGAAGGAGAGAGAGAGCCTTTTTCCCCCCACTCTTTCTTTTTCTCTTTAGTTTTTTTCTTTTCTATTGTGATTCTCCTTTCTTTTGTACCCTTGTATTTTGGGGTTTGGGGGGCAGTTCCTCCTTGTACACTCCTACATTAGCAGGGGGTTTTTTTCCCCTCTGGGATTTTTCCTTCCTTTTTTCAGTCATGTCTGGAAACAGACAGCAACAGTGTCCATATAGTCCAGTCGCACACATACTTTCTACAGCTTCATTCACTGGGCAAGAGTAAAGACTAGTTCCTGTGCCCCATCATTAGTGACAGACTGCACCCATCAGCAGCCTGATGTGCCCTCAAATGCTTCACACAAACAGCAAACATAGAAATTTATACACATATCCATTCTCTATTACATTCACTGGTAGACAGGTGAGAAATTAAGAATTTCCAAACTACCTGTGTACCACGTTCTCATGACTCAATCAGATATATATGGACAAAATAATACAAAGACAACATTGAAATGTCTCCAAAGCAACAGATAGCTTCAAACCAAGCACACACTCGAGGACAAAATGGTACAAGGAAGTAATGTAAATACAGAACTACAAAATCTTTTCAAAAAAGAAATGCTGTTGAAATGGAAACTGAAGAGAAGGTAATTCTGAAAGAAAGGATGACAAAACATTATGAGTAAGACAACTAACATGTTGATAGAGAACATGCATGAAGGAGAGGAAGGGGGATAAATGTTTAAATGAGTGAATGAAAAGCCAATTTCTATGTAAACTCCCACACAAATATAATTATAAAAAGAATAAATATTAATAAAACTTCTGATAAAGGACTGAAAAGGATGATAGGTAAGTATCTTCATTGGAATGAAAAAGAGTT